ATATATAAAGTAATCTGTGTAAAATTGTCTTACATACCTATTTTACCTATTTTATTCACAATCGGTATCTCTTGTAAATTTTATATTTTATAAGAATTAATGAACTATACAGATAACATTTGAATTAGTAAGTTTCCAATATATGAGCTTAAAGTTTCATTTCAACTGTTTTATTTTTAGTGTTTATTTTATGTTGGAGTCCATACTTTGTGTATGATCTCCTTCAAGTCTATGGGCAGATTTCCGATAGTCAGACATCAATAGCTGTATCCACATTCATACAGAGCTTGGCCCCTTTAAACAGTGCAGCCAATCCGATGATCTACTGTCTTTTTTCCACCCATATCTGCAGAAATTTCAGGCAAGTATCGATAACTATCAACAATTTCATTCATATACGATATTATTTTTAAATTTCAAACCAGGGGTAGTACACTTGGTCCGTATCGTTTACTTGTGAACATTCCAGTTTTTTTCCAGAATCTAATATATTTTTTTAAGACATTGTTTGGAAATTTTAAAAGCATTGTTCATAATATTTTCATACCATTATTAAAAACAATGCTATGCAATTTTGGAGGTATATATCTATCATCATGAATCTGCTCTGCATGAAGGAATCGCTACTAAGCAGCTGGGTTATTACCAGTCAGCTAACCATTTATCAGTCAAAGAGGTCAGACAGCTGTCAGATCTCAAACTGATCAGACCAACCTTGGTCAACGCGAGACCAAAAGAGAAGGACCTAAGGACTGATGGATTGGTAGAGTGTATCGGAGACTTCGTAAAATTACAGAAATGTTTCATAGGTTTAAAAGTTATTTATAGCTTTTTTAAAGCTGAAATTAATATCCTAAAATACACGACAGTTAAAGTTTCTGAAAATACTCAGATCTAAACTCAACCAATATTATTCAGTTACCGAGTGTCAATTAAAATAGTTTAAATTGAATTTATCAGAGAACGCAAGGTATTAATTGATGGTAAGGGGATTTTACTATTAACAAAAATACAAGAGTTGTGGTGATCCAGGAGATAAAACGTTCGTCTTCCAATAAGGTGACCCAGGTTCGAATCTTAGTTGTTGTTGGTTGATACGAATTCTGCTCCCGGATCATAGTAACCACAATACTGAGGTAAAATATTCTAAGTGGTTGATGTATCATGGTTGAGGATCCCCTTGGCTGTGGAAATGGTTACAAGACTATGGAAATGAAGGATTGATGGAATAAATGTCTGATGGTAGTAAACTCAGAATTAGGTCGGCTGTTCAACGCTTTGTATAAAATAAATATACAAAAGGGAACTATTGGTATAAAACTGGTAAAACTATGTCTAAGTAGAAAACACCTTCAATAGTCTTAACTGCACTTTTTTTAACTCTCAGAAAATAAATTTTTTAACTGCTTTATTTCAGAGCTTTTCCAGACATGAAGAGCTCTAACATTAAGATGATAGGGAACTCTTGCAAATTATCAGAGGAATGTTTTCTGTGAAAAATTGAAAGTTTTTTACATAAGAGAAAATATTTTCCCGTGTATTGATCACTATCAGTAGTTTATTATTTCTCTGGAAACATCACAAAGAAGCAGTTTGGTGTCAATTTGCTAACTTTGGAAAATACTTTGTTTTATCATTATATTTCTATAAGCTCTTCTATATTCAATTTTCATTCACCATTCTATTTAAAAAGATATCATTGCAAGCATTTACAAACATTTTCATTCGTGAACGTTACGAAACATTTGCGAGCGTTAGCGCGATATTAATGATATGATTTACATAAATTTGCCAGAGAAGAGCATTTCAAACCATGAAAGCTGGGCCGTAAAACGTGGTCTTTATGTAAAACAACACCGATATGTAAAAAGTGGGGATACATATTTGTTTATACTAAGTGGATAATTCTGTAAGCTATCACTTTAGCTTTGAAAAAGCACTACACTTTGACTTTAGACTAAAACACAAAAATTTATGCGATAAATTTTTTTTGTAGATAAAACCATCGTGTTGCCACGAAATAAGTGTTAATAATGAAACAATTGCGCTATAATTTCTACTTCATTTAGGAAAAAAAAGCCGTCATTTTAAAAAGACGATAGGTACAAATGGATAAGACGCAATAATTCGACTAACTTTTATTGAATTGTTACGTGGGCTTGATTTATATTAGATTTATTTCGAGTTTTAACTACATTAATCTCAGCGAAAGCAATAAAAAAGTTGCAAGATAATCATTGCAATTAAAGACGTGTCTTATGTAGGAAAATCTTCTTAAAGATAAAAGTGCAAATCACAAAATGTTTTTAGAAGCCGAAATAAATAAAGTTTTTAAATCTCTCTTAGCATGTAAAAAAGCCTTTGAATCACTTAAAATAAGGTCTTTTTTTTAAAATTATCCTACTTTTTGGTGACTGGTGTGTGCAAATGCATTAAGTGCAACATTTTGTTAAATTAATATTTAATGGGCCTTGTGTTATATTAGGTTTGTTGCAAGTTCTAGTCATAAATGCAGCTAATAGTACTTTAATGGATTAAGCCATTTTGTTAGAGTTGAGGTCGAAAAATCAAGTTTTTATATCTTTGACGCAGAATTTTCTTTGAGCATATTTCTCATACTTTTTTTTAAAAATCATTTTGCACTAATTTAGGATTAAATATATTATATTTAGTTTTTTAATAATTTATGGATATGAAATACGATATGAAACACGGGTGTCCTTTTTTGGGTTAAAAGTAAAATCTTCCAAACACGGCTCACTTCCAAACAATAATTTTACAAATTAGAACTTATTTGCAGTTTTTTAGATCTAAAAAAACAGTTATTCATCACTGAAATTTCTTTTTACAATTTTTAATTCATTTTTGAATATGAATGAAAAAAAAATTAGATAACTTTTTTTTTACTATATACATTACTACAAATAGAATTCCAATAATCTGAGAAATTTTTTAAGAAAACATTAGTCTGTTTTTTAAGAAAAAAAAAATACCGAAATATATTTTTACTTGTGTTTAGAGCATTAGGAAAAATCTATAAAACGGACACTGGTACCCATATGGGTAAAAGGATAAACCTATCTCTACATGCAAAAATATTTATAAGTTATTATAATTTATTTGATTATTATTAAGTTTGGTTTCCGAATTAAACACAACAATATTTCGACTTCTTATTAGATGAACTTGTTACATGAGCTTGATTGGTTTTTAGTTAGATAGTTTAGTTTAGTTAATCAGTGAAAATAATAATTAGTCTTTAGTCATGAAAGTCATTTTAATGGTCAAGATATGAAGCCCAAATGCTCTTAGATTTCAAAATAATCAAGTTTCATAATTTCTTGTTCTATTCAAAAGTATTTAAAAGAATTGAATTTTTTTTATAGTTTTTTTTAAAGTTTGGTGACTACTTAAAAATTTAAGATGGTAGCCCACATTTAAAAGGGGAGATTTTTTCATCTTCAGTTGCTTTTTATACTTCCTTTCCTGATATCTTAGTTTTATTAGTTACTTATCATATTAAACACTTCAAAAACAGTTCGCTCTGCTTTAATAACTTAGAAATCAATAATTTGTGAGCAAAAGAATCTTGATTTTGTGTATGAAAATGCAATATGTTGTGTAAAAAATAATTTTATGGAAAAAAAAATTATATCACAGTAATGCACAATCTTTCGGGAGAAGTTTTTTTTAAATTAAAGTTTTAACAAAAAATTGCAGCTTTTATAAAGGTTTACCATTACCTCGACTTTTTTTTAGGAATTATTAAAATGGAAGTTTTGAAAATAATTTTCCTAATCAAGCTTGGCTGAATTTTAACAAGATATAAATAAATTGTTGATGTTTGAATAAATAAATTTTTCTTTAAGTTCTTTTAATTAATTAAATCTAGCATAATGAAAGAATTATTTTGTTTCTAAATGACAACAGTTTAGAAAATTATTTTTTAATATACTTTCTAATTTTAAGAAACAGTTTTTCATTTTTAATCCTAATCTCAAAAAATTGCGAAACAAGGAAAAAAAAATGTAAAATAAAGAAGACGAGTTAAAATTGCAAACAAAAAATAACAAATTTAATCTTATTTAATTGTGTTCTGTTAATTTTTTTAAGCATTTTAAGTTTTTATTTCAATTTAAAAAAATTAAATTAGAAAAAAAAAACAGTTAGCTGAATTAAAAAAATATATATATAAATAAACGAGAAAGGAAAATGAAAGGTTCGAAATTCATTAATTTCGAATAGCTATCTTTTTACCCTTTGATGTAGAATTTCTAATAAGCAGATTTTTTATACTCTTTTCATTATTTAGTAATTATTCATATCAAAGGTCAGCATGAAAAACAGATGTTTTTTTTTACGTTAAAGGTAATCTTTCAAACACGGCTCACTTACAAACAATTGTTTTCTCACATTTGCACTTATTTGCAGTTATTTAGATCTACGAAGAACAGTTATTCATCATTAAGTTTTCTTAAATTTACAAAATCAATTATTGACTATATTTTGAATGGGAATAAAAAAGTTTATTTTTCAAACTACTGTTTTTGGAATTTATATTTTAGTACAAATATAATTCCCATAATCTAACAGATCTTTTACAGTAACTAATAGATTTCTTTTTATAGATAAAAAAAATACCAAAAAATTTTTTTGTTTGTATTTAGAGCACCAGGAAAAAATATATAACAGGCTAAAAGAAATCTTTTTAATTGTCAGAAGAAGTATGGAGATAATCAGAAATAAAATTTTTCTGTTAAACATCTAAATATCTCTTTTGAATCTTTGCAAATAATGTTGCAAGAAAATTCTTATGGATTGAACTTTAGTGTTACAATAATCAAACAAAAGAATTTTTAATTTAAATGATCATGATTTAGAAGACTTTCTACTTACCTTTAAAGTGGATAAAAATGTGTATTAAAATGAATGCCGTATTGTGTAATATTATATAATAACAACTTCAAAAGTTTATCAGATTTACAATTTTAAAAATCACCTAAGTTTAAATTAATAGTTATGAAGATTAGACGAATAGTTTAAAAATGAAAATGACAAAGCAGATTTATTTGAGTTAGTTTATAACATTTGATTTTTAGTTTATAAAATTTTTAAGGATAATATATTATTCTTTAAATAATGTCCTTAGTTTCATACTTTTAATATTTTTAGTGAAGGTAGTACTAATATTTTTAGCAGCTATCAATTTATAACAATCAGTATTTGGCACAAATCTTCTAAGTAACTAATGAATATATTCGTGGGAATTTTCTCAAAGAAAAAAAAGAGACGAAAGTTGAATTTGAATTATTGCTGTGATTGTTTAATTTTTTAATTTTATGATACCTAGCTATGATTCCTTTGAATAACATGCCTTTTTTTTTAAATAATATGCAATGTATTAGTGAGGTGAATAATATTTCTAGTACTATATTTGTTTTTTACAAGTTGGGGATCATGGATTGGTATTAAAAAAGTGCTGTTCCTTGCTATTTAAAATTTCTGATCCTCTAATTTTCTGATGTTCTTCTGATTCGTTCTTCACATCATGCCTTTGTATATTAAGAACTGTTTATTTTAAATATTTTGACTAAAAGTTTGATAAGCTCAGTTGAACTTGTGAATGACATTATAAGCACTTTATACTAAATCACTAGCAAATTCAAAACGTGTCTGATTTTGTGAAATATCGCTAGGTATTCCAAAATTTAAAATTTCCTTTCTTCATAACTTCCTTAAGAACAGGCCAGAAAAAAAGGCTAAAATTGATTGTTTCATAAAAAATCTGCATAATAAAATTTATGGTAATATTCCTTACTTCTTGGTGGTTTTTCAAAGCTGCTAGAGTCTCAGTTTTACTATTTACTATAGAGTTATGACAATATAAAGAAAAGTATCTTTATAGTAGCTAGAGGATGTTGATTTTATTTTAGTTTGCATTTGTTATGAGTTTTTAACTTTCCACAAAACTTAATAACTTCATTTCTTTTCCTTTTGCAATCAATTTAAACTTTGATCGGCTTATTTGTGTTTGTAAGGCACAAAAGATTGGAACTAGGATTGTGTTAAAATACGTAAAAGAAATAAATCCTTGGTCCATTATCTTGATCTTTCGTAAAGTCTGTTTTACAGCAATTTATGAATATCGAAACATATCGAAAGAATCATAGAGCTATAGTTTAAATTGTAAACCCACTTTTAAGTTGTTTAATAGTATTTCCTTAGATTAAGTGAAATTCTGTGTTATTTTCTGTCAGCCTTGCTTTGCATGAATATTGTTTTTCGGTCAAATCTCATTTTGTTTTACCCCCAATTTTTCTTGCTCTAAGGTAGTTTTTCAATTCATAATCAATAATAAAATCAAAATAAAGAATTATATATTAAGAATTTTATGAAAAACACTATGAAAAACCAAATGGTCACCATTAAGTTTCGATTAGATTTAGATTTTTTAAATATATTTAAGCTTGATTCTGAATTTAAAACAACTCTACTACTGCACATTGTTTTTAGCAATAGTATGCAAATAGCTTTACAATTGTAAGAGAGTTTAAATTCCAAAATTTTTTTGTGCAATCATCTCATTATAAAGACTCAGGACGTAAACTTCAGCATTCTTGCACTATAAAAATTTTCATTACACAATCACGGTAAAATAACCGACCGCAGTCTGTCAGTCCAATGACCAAACAGATTACTGTTGAAAAGCTTTTTTTTACCTTTAAAGCTGTGAAACTGTATGGTTAAAAATTTGTGAGTACGAATTATACGGTTTTGCAACCGTTTACAATAATCATTGTTTCTACACCGTAAAAAGGAAAAATAACTGAGCATTGGAGTTAGGTTATGTTTGGTTTTTAATTAGATACAGGGCATTGTGTTTAGGCTATGGTTGAGATGTGTTTTGTCAAATAAACCATAGAATTAGTTTATCTAGTAGCGTCATCTATCATTAGAAATTAGAAATACCAGAATTTTGTGTTAATCAGGTCAGTGGTACTGCCATCTACATGTGAATGAGAGTTTCATATTTCGAAAGTCAGGGGTTGCCACATGTAGAATGCAGGACACAGGAAACTATTTGTGTGTTGAAGGAATTTAAAAGACATTGTTATGGTAATCCAGGGATTCGATCTCTAGTTCAGCCGGACATGAGACAGACAGCTAAATAAGCCCTTCCTGCTATAGCATGTACACAGCTGCAAGGAATTAAGTGGTTTTATAAGGTAGGCCTAGTTGACGCGGATAAAAATCTGGTTGTTTAATCGTTTTAGGTGCAAACAGTCAATAAGCGATTTTTCTCAGAGTAAACAGTTTGAATATCACTTTTTTATGATTATTTGACTGTTTTGGCTTGAATATGATAAAATAACAATTAAATTAATTGCTATTTAACCGTATTTTTTGAGAAATTTCTAACAGTGTAGACCTGTACGTAATCGTTTCGTTCAATGGAAATTTCATAAATGTTTGTTAAGTCTCTAACTTGTTAAAGACATAGCGTTTAAATTTATATCGCAAAGGAATTAACAAAATGTTTTATTATAGAATGATCCCTTAAATCGAGTTCATTCTCTCGAGTTACCTGGTGATTGCTTTGATGACATATGTTTTGATCTTTCTTCCCAGAAGGCTGCCTATCTGTAACTGGCTCGCCGAAAAGTTGTGCATCTGTTTCCCTTCCTTCAAGAGTGGTGGACATTCTAGAACAACAGAATATACCCTGTCCGAGACTTTAACGACTCATCACAGAAATTCCACTTTCCACCCAATGACCAATATAAGACAACCCTTTTTCAAACAATCATCGGCTAACTCTGAAGAACATCGGAGGGCAGTCATGTTTGATGATGTCCCAGAAAGTTACACTACCAAAAACTCAAAACTGTAAATCTGCCGTTTTTGGAATATTTCAACTTCTGGCATGGCATTTATTTGTTATAAATTTTCATAATTTTATTCAAAGACGGGAACAAAACAACAATTTTACATTTTCCAAACAGTTTATTTAATAATTTTTTTAATCGTTGTCAGCCTGAAATAATAAAAGAAAATAACAACCAGGCAGAAAAAAAATTCTTCGAAAATTATCATTCTGTATGGAAGTGAAATTTATGTTAAAGAAAACCGTAATTCTGGTTAATAAGTTCGAAACCCATTTATCCATGGCTTTATTATTTATTTATCGTCTTTAAACCATTCTTTTTGGTTATAATTCCGTTCATATGGAAGCGTTTTACCGGAAATTCTGGATTTCAAAATTGCAGTTCTTATTACACACTTTTAGTTAAAAATACAAAACTGAAAAGTAAACTTAACCAAATAAATTGTTTTCATGTCATGGTCTAAGATATATTGATAAAATTATGAAAATATTACAAAACTTATTAAATTTTTTCCCTTATAACAAAACAATATTTTATTGTCAATTACACCAAAATCATTAGTAACACAGTTCGGTAAAAATTACTGAGCTTTTTCACATTCCCATGGAGCTAAGAACTTGCAAAATTTGACCATATTCTGATAATTGTGTCCATACTTTTTTCTCAGAGCGTAAATATGTACTTGTACAATACGAATGCTTCTTGTGCCATATTTGTCAGTTCAATTGAGAAATAATCTTCAATTATTCTAATTAAGAGCTGTAATTGTAAGAAAAAATTAATTGGTTGAAAATTTTCAAGATAAATTTAAAACTTAAATAGAGTAATCACACTAAGTAAGAATTAACTTTGTAAGGAAGAAATGAGTTATAATTTGACATTCTTAAGCACAATTAGATTTTGTTTTACTGTTTTTGAACATATCAGTAGGTGCTAACTGTTAATTGTATACAATCGTATGTTCCAGTTAGTTGTCACATCCCCAAGATATTGTAAAATTTAAAAATGTTTTATTCTACTAAAAAATAATTTATTATTATAGTGACTGTTTTATTATTGATATTTGCAAGAACCATGGGCGTCGTTGGTGGGTATATGTCCCCCTCAATAATTAGAAATCTCTAAAAGTCCTCAAGATTTCAATCTTCAATCTTTCTCAATATCCAGTAACCTTTTCGTAGTTTTTCAATAGATGTAAAGCATTTTTCTTATGTGTAACAAATAGAGAATTATTGTGACTAAGCATTATGCTTCCATTCTCTTCAAAAATTAAAATCCTAGGACGCCCATGGCAAAAACCCTGAATCGTTTTTTTCTTAACGTAGTTTTGGATAAGCTGAATATGATTAGATTTCAATCAATTAAAAGCAATAGGTAAATTTGTTTGAGCCGCTTTTAAAAATAAAAAATACAAAATATTTACAATGATTAATAATTAATAATAACTTCTCTTAAAAAATTCTATACAAAATCTAGATCAGTTTTTAAATCTTAATCATTGGCTTTTAAAATATAAATTGTTATATTGTAATGAAAACATAAAGCATGTACAACAGTAACATAACAATTTAAGCTAAATTTAAAAGATATATTTTTTAGTTTTGTGCTTCTTCAACAGATCATTAAATGTTTCTTTAAAAATTAAATTCACCTTAAATACAATTTTTCCTTCAAGAAAAATTAAATACAAACAGGGTAATGTTTATTTGAAAAATATATGTTGTTATTCTTTGCTTTTTTATTTAAGTAAACTTATTGTGGTTTGAGATAGATAGCCATTTCATTGTATGTATGTAATATGTGTAATCTATGTCAATTGTAAATGTTTCAATACTTGTTATTCCATATATATTATTTATCAACTCTATGTAATATGTATTTTCTATTTGCTATTAAGACGTATTGCTATTAACTATATTTGTTAACACGTAACATTATTGCTTTTTTAAGTTTTTGCTTATATTGTGTTTATTTTTCATCAACTGAAGTATTTATATGTCCCTTAAAAAACTTTATAAATATCGATTATCTTTTATCATTAGATTAATATGTACTATACGTATTTAAATTAAAGCATATTTCATATGGTTCACGAGACCAAATAATTTAATTTAATTGTGAAACAAAACAATTCTTGCATCTTGAAATAACTAGTATTTCTAGATTTTTTAGCAAATTTTGTTTCTCCTTGTTGATAACAGATAATATCGTTTGCATCACAAAGAATGGATGAGAATTATCTAGTAATGTAACTAAAATTTGAAGCATATTTAAAAGAACGTTGCAAATATGCTGACAAATAAATATACATAATAATGTTAAACACTATGTAAAATATATTACACCCAAATTATTTAACGTTTTAAGTAAACATTTATGTGCTTCAAAGGTCTCTTTTAATGCATACAAATTAATTAGTGCAGGTGAAAACTCAAGTTTAGAAAGAAACAAAAATATATTGTCTCCGAATAAACTGCTTGGTAATGGATTTGGAGTTATGGTACTAATAGATGAATAAGACACTTCTTTGTGAATAAAAATGGCGTTTATTTGAAGCGCTTACAATGATTAAATTCTTGAAGGGTTGGCGTGCAATTTAATAAGCCACATTTTCATATTTGTTCAAGCGAACTTTTTTGATAAAAGACATGACTTTTCTGTAAACATGATGTCCATGTTTACAATGAGATCTTTTCAGGCATTGTGCTTCCATCTAGGAGAGTCGAAGAAAAATTGTTAAGAACTTATCTAGAAACAATAATAAGACACAGTTTGATGTTAGAATGCTTTCATTGGTCAAAATGTGGCTTATCACTTTATTGATTTAAGCTCGTTATTTGAAAAACTCGCTTACCATTAAAAGACTTCATGCGATCTTCATACAATTTTGGATTGTGTGTGAAATCAGTTTGTTTATTTCGAAATATGAAAATTAACTAAATGCTTGCCGCGCAAATGAGTCATTTATCATCTAAAATTATTTAACTTACATTCATAAATTAGATAATTTTAGAATGTTATCATTACGATGCAATACGTTACTAAATATCTAATTATTATTAATTATCACTAATTAATTGATGCAATGATTTTTCAATTCTATTCTTTTGATAGCGTGAAACTTTTAATTCCAACTAACTACATGGTTTAGTAATTTAGTAATGTAGGGCGTTTTTCTAGATTGATTGTATTAATTTCTTTGAAAGCTCGGATGTGTCGACATTGCATGAAAAATTGATACTTTTTTTTAATATTTTTTATTTGTTATTGTACGTTCATGCTGAACTGATAATTCTCATTCAGTTTTCTTTAATCTATTGCATAGCTTATTTTAAATGGATATACTTTTTGCAATTCCTATTAAAAAAAACTATTTGTTATGTGATTAACATTATTTTTGTATCTCTTTTGGATCATATGTTTTAATGAAGAGAAAAAAATTATCTTTATCCTGCTTGTAAATATTATGCAAATTTTTGTATCTTTATTCATTGTCACTCGTCCAGTTTGAACCATATCTCAATAAATATGAATTTTTCTTAAAAGTTGTTTATTTTATGACGCACATTATATATAATCAAATATAAATGCAATGAAAATGAAAAAAAAATTACCTCGCGAAAAAAAAGTGTATACGTTATTTAACTCAATTTAATGCTTATTTCATAAAGCTATTCTACGAGCTTTTATTTCAAATAAAAATGAAACTTGTTTGAACATTGGAAAACTTCAATATGAATTTGTTTATAATATGATAATATAAGATATATAAACTAATATAGGAAATATAAACATTGCGCTTGCTCATGTAAAAGTTTAAATAAACTTTTACGAAAATTAGAAATTTTCTTAAAGAAAAACTTTTTAAATATTTTCCTTACGAATTATATGATTCTAATTAAGTAAGATATTGCGTAAAATAAATTAAAGAAATGTATTATTAAATTGCATATGAGATTTAATTAGAATGAGAAACACTTAATCAGATTTCTTTTAATTTAAAATAAACTTAAGTTTTTAAATAATGTTAATAAAATATTCAGTTATATTATTTAAGCTAACATCGTTTCAGTAATAATGAATTAAAATATTTTTATTTTATTATTGTTCGAATATTTTAATCAGAATATAAATTTACGATATATTACAACGCAGTTTTAAGTTTGATTTTTTTTAACAAATCTTTTAAAGTATTGTAACAAACACGACAATATAATTTAAAAAAAAAATATTTCATTGCTTTATATTATAGCATAATAGCCAGTTAAACAACTAGATTTGTAAATCTGAAATTAAGAAATATAAATTGAGGGGCACAATAACAAGGTAAGTGCACGGAGAAAAATAGCTGGGTTAAATTACCGTAATGTTTCCGTAAGTTAAATAAAAACAATAAGAAAAAATTGTTGAAAAAATTACGATTACTGGTTACCCATTGGTCAAATGTTTTTTTATTCTTTCTGGATTGACTCCGATAAACGCCACAATATTTCAAAAACTGTCTCAATTGATGTTTAACCTCTTGCCATCGGGTAGGTTTCCAAATCCTACCTATATACATGTTTCAAGACGTTTTAAAATACTTTTCAGTCTTCTTCCTCGCCTTCTTCTTGGGCCCTACAGCCAATGACTAGCCAAGGTCGTCCCAATAAGTTTTTGCCATCTTAATGTATTCTGTGCCATGACCTTCCAGTTAGTTATTCCTATTATCGTTAGGTCCCTCTCAACTGCGTCCAGCCATCTAGTCGGTGGACGACCCCTGCTTCTTGTACCTTCTGGTTTAAAAAAAGTTTTTTTTTTTTGCGGGTTTTGGTCATCAGATCTATAAAGGTGTCTCAGCCATCAAATTTTCAATCTTCAGTATTCATATTTATATTAAAATCACCGTCAAGACGGTGATTGTAGGATAATGATGAAAAGAATATAAAAATGCTTTAAATTATTGTTATGTAATACATTAAAGATGTCAGCTGGTGAAAAAAAAAGAAAAAACTTGTCAGAAAAAAAATGAACTAAAGAAGTTTCAAAGTTATCGTCTGCTTTTTTTAATTTGATCTAGTTGTGCTGCTTTTTTTATTATTACTTATGTTAGCCTGATTTTTGACGATTACAAATATTAAAATCACCGTCAAGACAGTAATTATAAGTTAATAATAAAAAGAATTTAAAAAAAATTATTAAACAGCAGCGGACGCCATCGCAACACATGCAATGACGACTCACTGTTCGCACTGTTTACTATTACTCTTGAACATAGTTGAAAAGTGTGATGATATCCAAATAAGGTGCGCACGCCATCAAACCCAAAACATTACCCATTTTTCCAATGAGTAAAACATAATTTTGCTTAATAAAACTGGTTGATAAAAATTTCAAAGATTTTTGGTGAGGGCTGGGATAGCCTGGTTGGTAGGGCAATGGGCCCATGTCCAAGAGGCCGTGTGTTCGATCTCCACCGGCCGAAGACTCCGCGAGAAGTAACTGGCGACTGATATATGCTAAAACTATCGAGTCACGAAATCCTTCATGTTCCCATAACAAATTATACATCTGGGGGTACTGATCCAGGACTTTCCTTGTCTTCTGGATTGGTTCAAAGTTACAAGGCTACGGAGTTGAACGTTACCAGTCGTAAACCCAAAATTGGGTCTGCTGTTAAACGGCAGTAATAATTAAAAGAAGAAAGCTTTTTTGTTTTTCCATAAAGCTAGAAACACGTTATTCTGGTAGTTTTGACCATATTTTTTTTAATGTGCAAATATTTTTTTTCCTATTGTGCATTTTTGACTGCTTGTAGTATATCAGTTTAGGCTTACTGCAGACAGCAAACACGAATATAATCCCTCTTCTGTGTGATGAATATCAAAAGAGAATTTATTGTCTTTTTTTATTTTATTTATGTCTCGCTAACAATTGGAGGATATTGCACCGAACCTTCCAATTCATATTTATTTCATGTTCAAAATCTTTCTTTTTGTAGTATTTCAATAAAGGTTTTCCAATATTTATGATTAGTTAAAGCACCGTGTACATAAACATTTGCGGGTTGCATTAACGCATGTGGCTTCTGTGCTTATATCGGGATTCGTGGTTCAAAAATGTCACGGTAATATCTGAGGCTCTTTATCATTTTCATGTATTGAGACTTATTCTGAATATTTTAAACGGAATTTCAAAAAGGAAATACCATTTCTCTAACAATTACAAAGGTAAATAATTTTATTAATTTTTATGGTATACTATTTAAGAGACAGTTAAAAAATACTTTGGCTGCTGTTATGAATGTCAAAAATGGCAAATTAAATACCATAAAAATGTTTTAAAGTAAAATAAAGGTCTGTTTAAATATTTTTTTTAATTTTTAAATGTTGTTAATAAATTTGCATCCCGACTTACTGTCAATAGTAAGTCGATTGCAAATACAGTCTATTCTCTTTAGTACGACTTTCTATTAGTGCGATCCTTCCATTATAACGGCCGTTACATTAAGTCCCGTTTGTTGTTCCATAGACGCAATGTTATTTTAACACCCTAATCGAACTGTTCATTCCAATATAGCGACTGAAATTTTGTGCAATTTTTATTTCTTTGAAAATAACTTTAAAAACAGGCGTTAGACATTTTCGTGCTTTTAGAACTAGCATT